ATCATGATGTTGCTTATTGGTCCAGTTGTGAGGATTTTTGTTTTCTTTATGTTGAGGTGTAATCCATACTGAAGGCTGTGATCTTTAATCTTTATCAGTAACTGCTTCAAGTCCTCTTCACTTTCAGGAAGCAAGGTTGTGTCATCTGCATAACACAGGTTGTTAATAAGTCTTCCTCCAATCCTGATGCCCCGTTCTTCTTCATATAGTCCAGCTTTCAGATTATTTGCTCAGCATACAGATTGAATAGGTATGGTGAAAGGATACAACCCTGACACACACGCTTCCTGACTTTAAACCACGCAGTATTCCCTTGTTCTGTTTGAATGACTGCCTCTTGGTCTATGTACAGGTTCCATATGAGCAGAATTAAGTGTTCTGGAATTCCCATTCTTCACAATGTCATCTATAATTTGTTATGATCCACACAGTTGAATGCCTTTGAATAGCCAATAAAACACAGGTAAACATCTTTCTGGTATTCTCTGAATATCCCATTATAGAATTTCCCATTATTACTCATTTGCTTCATCCCACATTACACCCCAAACGGTCTCAGAATGATGATATAAACAGTACAACAAAAAATATGATACTTGACAACACCAAATTTTGGCGAGGATGTAGAGTAACAGGAACTATCATTCATTGTGATGGGAATGCAAAATGGTACAGCTACTTTAGATGACAGTCTGGCAGTTTCTTACAAAGCTAAGCATAGGCTTATCATAAATCCAACAATCATGTTCCTAGATATTTACTCAAATGAGTTGAAAATGCATGTCCACATAAAAACCTGCACACCAATATTTATAGCAGCTTTACTCACAATTGCCAAAAATTAGAAGTAATCAAAATGTCCTTCAAGGGACAGGAATGCTGGTGATAGGGAACCCAAGGTTGAGTAAAGACAGTGTTGACATGTAGTGGGGTTGTTAACCATTGTCATAGGGCAATATGTATACTAACTGTTTAATGAGAAACTATTTTGTTCTGTAAACTTTCATCTAAAGTGAGAATAGCAGCACAACTGGAAGAATGTAATCAATGTCACTGAATTGTACATGTAGAAATTTTTGAAATGGTGTATTTTTGGCTATGTATATTTTCACCAAAAAAAAAAAAAGGTCCTACAAAGTTGAGAAGGGAGAGTGTTGATATGTCGTGGGGTTGTTAACCAATGTCATAAAACAATATGTGTACTGACACTTTAATGAGAAACTATTTGTTCTGTAAACCTTCACCTAAAGTACAATAAAAAAAAAATTTTTTAAAAAGATGTTCTTCAATAGGTGAATGGATAAACAAATTATAGTATATCCATACAAAAGAATATTATTCAGCGATAAAAAGAAATGAGCTATCAAACCACGAAAAGACATGGAGGAACCTTAAATGCATATTGATAAGTTAAAGAAGTCAGTCTGAAAAGCTACATGCTGTATGAGTCCAACTACATGATATTCTGGAAAAGGCAAAACTATGTAGAGAGTAAAAATACCAGTGGTTGCCAGGTGGTCAGGGAGAAAGGGGAGGGATGAATAGGTGAAGTACGGGACATTTTAAGGGCAGCGAAACTTATTCTTCATGATGCTGTAATGGTAGATACATACATTATGCATTTGTCAAAACTCATAGGATTATATAACACAATGAGTGAACCCTAATGTAAACTCTGGACTAAAGTTAATAATAATGTATCAATATTGGTTCATCAATTGTAACAAATATACCACGCTAATACAAGATATTAATGATATTAGACAACTATACAGTGGACCTCACCAGATGGAATGCACAGGAATCAAATCCACTACAACTGTGGAAAGAGAAAATGGAGAAGCACAGTATCATCAGTCAGAACAAGCCCAGGGGCCAACTGTGGAACAGACCATAAATTGCTCATATGCAAGTTCAAGTTGAAGCTGAAGAAAATTAAAACAAGTCCATGAGAGTTAATGTATGACCTTAAATATAGCCGGCCTGAATTTAGAGGTCATCTCAAGAACAAATTTGACATACTGAATACAAAGGACCAAAGACCAAAAGAGTTGTGGGATAACATCAAGGACATCATACATGAGGAAAGAAAAAGTCATTAAAAAGACAGGAATGAAAGAAAAGACCAAAAGAAATGTCAGAAGAGACTCTGAAACTTGCTCTTGAATGTAGAGTAGCTAAAGCGAACAGAGGAAATGATAAAGTAAAAAAGCCGATCAGAAGATTTCAAAGGGCGGCTCAAGAAGATAAAGTATTATAATGAAATGTGCAAAGACCTGGAGTTAGAAAACCAAAAGGGAAGAACACACTCGGCATTTCTCAAGCTGAAAGAAATGAAGAAAAAATTCAAGCCTTGAGTTGCAATATTGAATGATTCTATGGGTAAAATACTGAATGATGCAGGAAGCATCAAAAGAAGATGGAAGGAATACACAGAGTCACTGTACCAAAAGGAATTGATCAACATGCAGCCATTTCAAG